CTAGAGCATTCATGAAAAAACAAGATAGTTCTAGAAAATAGAGGGCGCCACACCAGTCACGTGAACTCGATGACGCAACATTATTTATAACCAATAAAAGACCAAAGTTTTAATCTCTCAAATTACGTTTTATATTACAATGTTTTTTGTATAGGGCATTGTTCATTTTGTCGTTTGGTTACGAATTTGTTCTTGTGGGAAGTACGTCAAAAGCTTAGCTGAATTTTTAAAGACTCCTATTGTACAGTTAGAAAGCCAGAAAAATTATGATAGCTGTAGGACATTGTTTTTTGCACGTTATTATTCTGTGTTCTTAAGTGCATTGTTTAAGTAATTAAAAAATTTAATGTATTAGTACCAATAATTTAAAAAATAGGCTTACGTTACATCGACAGTCAACAGCAAAAAAAACAAGTCCCAAGTAATTACTTTATTCCTTGTTTTTCATGTGTAATCTTTATTTATTATTATACAAGTTACCAAAATGTAAAAATTAGAAACTTATTACGTTAGAATAGGTAAAATTATGAAAAATAAAATAAAATATTTTCACGAAGTAGGTTTGTAAGTAGCTCATGTATTATGTAATTCGATACAGTATGTAAGCTGCACATTCCATGAGTGATTTACAACTTGTGTGGCAGGATTATTAGTTTAGACACAGTTCAGAGGTCAACAGAATAATAAAATTAGATGTAACAAGCTTTAAGCTATTAAGAATAAACAGTTGTGGTTTCCTGTTACAATGTCCAGTCATTCAGAAAGAAAAAAGGGTAATTTCCTAACTTTTTATGGTGTTTACAGGGTCGGTCAAATTAACTGACCCTATATATATAATTATGGTAGAGAAAATAACGGACAAAATATAGATTTTCTGAAAAACAAATGTTTGATATTTATTTAGGATTATTAAGTTATTAATCTTAAGATGAAAATCACGTTGCACTCAGACCAGTCAATACTATGACTCCTTATATTTACATACAAATCTTTAGTAAAAAATACTTAATTAAACATTCTGATTTTTTTGTCAACAAAAGACTTCTATTGTTTACTAATAGCCTTCCAAATTTCATGAAGCTACATTAAAGTATTTTCAGTCAGCATGGTTACATGGTGGTTACAAGTTCATGTTGTGAAAGTGTTAAACAGTAGGTCAAAACATAAATAGGAGAAAAACGTAGAAGTACATTTCTTATTAACAGATGAAAAACAGTAGGAAGTAGGTATAGGAGTAAAACACCTAATGTTCTAGACAAAATCAAGGTAAATAGTTCTGTAACTATTGTATTTGAATTGCTCCTTTTGTTTGCTTTATTAAAGTTACTTGAAAATTTTGTCATTATCAGAATTCAGGAAACTCTTACACGTAGCTTATTCTAACAAGTGATTTTATTTATTTATTTATTGAAATGAATATTCATATGATAACTTCAACAACAAATATATGAATATGTAGGTTTCTTTACTTAAAAAAACAGACATTTCTATATTTAAAATCATGTGACAAATGTCACTAAATTACAAACTTATTTCGTATTAAATATATCAATTAAAATAATTACAATATTTACTTCCATATGCAAATGTTAGTTCTCTTTCAGTAGCTGTATTATTCTTTACAGAAGTTGTCAATTTTATAGCCATCAGCAAAATAATTGCTTCTTAATATTCAAACTTCTTCAAATATAACTTCAAATTCTTCTAAATGTATGTTGACCAGATAATCAATAGGTCAACAATACCTCTTTTCAGCAATAAACAAACACAATGTTTTATACTCTTTAATGAAAATAATGAATATGGTTTGAAATTAGTTTTAATCAATATATTAAACAAATGCTGTTTTAAATATAACTGTTACAATATTCATAATCCTTAGATCCATTTTTAAACTGTATTACAAGTAATATTTTCTTATATTTAACTTTTTTTACATATACAAATTAAAGATTGATGTCCATTTTTTTAAATAATGTATTTACCAATTAAATAAATTAAAATATAAGACTACAAATCCACAATAGTGAATGATTAGTAAAATTTATAAATTCTTGTTAATGTAACCATTACCTTCTTATAAACTTGTCTTCGGGTACTTCAGCCATCACCAGTGGACAAACTTTGTTTCCAGAATTAGTCATCCAATAGTCTTTGTTTTTTCTTAAAAAGCTTTTTTTCTCAATATCATCCTTCAACCCATTTTCTAGTTTTTTAACATCAAATCTGCTGAACTGAGATTTCCCTAAGGCTGTTTTGCTTTTTTTAAAATCTGAAATGTCTATTCTCACTCTTAGATCTTTAAGAAACACTTTAGATGTTTCTATTGAGGGAGAGAAATGGTTTTCATTCCACCCTTTAGGTGAAATATTTTTTTCTCTCTCTTTACAACACAATTTCTGTATTTTTAGGGAATCTCTTTTTTTAGTTCTAGATCGCTGTCTGGTAAGCTTTTCTACTTGTTTAAATGATGCCGACTGTTCCTCATACTTAGCATGTGATTTCTGAACTTTTTCCAGTTCATGAATTGGAGCTACAAATAAATAACTATTGTTTTAATTTATCCAACCATAGATTAAAACCAAAACTTTTAAATACAAGACTACATTATTCTTAAACTGATATATCTTAAAACTTTATGTATGCTTTGTCTATAAAAGCACAAGTTATATTCTATAGATATTCTACATGTAAAAAAACTTACATTTTTTTAACATGAATCAATTCATAAAGCTAATTACCTCCACTAAATTCTCTTAGTTTTTCTTACCTCTACTTCTGTCCATTTGCAACTTTGAATAATAGCATTTCCATTGTAATCCATATATTTTTAATGGAATAACTAAACTTTATTGGTACTTTATATAATACTGACTACAGATCATGCTTAGTAAACCATATTTCTGGTCCAAACAATCTGGGTATGTAAAAATGATGTGCAAAACCCACCCTCCATTTAGGTTAACTAAACAGTGATAGGCATACCAACCACGAGACTTCTCAGCCAAGGATCTAGGAAGTTAATATGAGTTAGTTGTCTAGAATTAAATGAGGAAAACTCTCTATAAAGGAAACTCAGATCTGACAGAGGTAGTAAGGCATAAAATTGTGAGTAGAATACCATATTTCTGCTCTGAAAGGAGCAAATAACTGAATGATCACTAGAGAAAAAGTTCCAGATCTAGATATAGAATCTGAATACCTCTCTCCAAGAATGATTGCAAGAGGGTACTATGACAGGATCAAACAAAAGAATGTTGACAAGATGAATTGGTCTACAGTTCCAGATTCAAGGACATGTGAAAATAGTTTATAAAAATAAGGCAAGGCATATTTTTTAAAAAGCGTATGAAGTAAGTAAAAAAAGAAAAAGACCTTAACAGTATCCTCTTTAAACCTATGTTACAAAATTAACAGCTTGAAGCACTAGATTGGGTGAAAGAGGAAACTGAAGGGTAATAATATTCAAGGAACAATGCATAAAGACAAAGAGTAACCCATAAAAGTTCAAGCTCCAACTTGTGATAAATAAATTCAATTAAGCCATGAATAATAACTAAGTAGTGTAGTTTATCTAAAGGATTCACCTTAAGCAAGTCATCTGTGGTACTTAGGTATGGTCATATCCAACAGATAAGTTTCAAAGTATCCATGAAATGTAGATTCTGGAAATTTACTGCAGATAGTAAATCAAAAATAAAGAGCAAATGAAAGAAACAAACACAAGTGGACAAATACAAAAACTTTTATTTACATAAATTCTGCAAGTCTTCATACTTACTGGTTGACTTTCTTATTACTGTCTGATTGCTGGGGCTGATAATGGAACATTCATTTAAAATTTCCACCCAGACAAAGACAAACATAACTCTAATTTATCATTGAAATTCAGAAGAAATTTTAAAAGTGAAGTACATCATAATCCAACACTGTATATGTCACTGAAAACTCCTAATTCTTTACAATTAATACAAATATATGAACCACCCCTTGACATGGCTTGCCCTTCCCAAGAGGTTCAAACACAAGATCAAAGTGATGCAAATACCTAGCCATTGGCATATGCAACTTTACCTTAGTAAAATGATTAGTAGATGTTTATAATCTTTCAACATTCATTTTAATAAGAATGCCATCTACACGTAGAACACCTGCATGAAAATTTTGGAAAATTATGTAAATGTTTCTGAATAAATATACTGTTACGACAGGGGAAGTCACACGACGGTGGGAGCATGTGCGCTGGAGTTTCTAGAAGGATCATGACTTATCAAGGAACCTCGCAAATGTCCGAGTGTTTGACAGGCAC